ATAGCTACAAGATCTTTAGATAGCTATGATAGCATTAAATAGCTATGTAAATGATTAAATAGCTGTGCAAGCCATTAGATAGCTAAAGCAACTTTAAGTAGCTATAGGATCTTTAAATAGCTATGATAAGATTAAATAGCCATGTGAAAGATTAAATAGCTATAGCAACTTTAAATAGCTAGAAGATCTCTAGGTAGCTATGATAAGTTTAAAAAGCCATGTGAAAGACTAAGTAGCTATACAAATGATTGAATAGCTGTGGAAGCATTTAAATAGCTATGACACGTTTAAATAGCTACAAGATCTTTAGATCACTATGACAGTATTAAATAGCTATGACAATGATCAGTAGTTAGACTAGGAAATCATTGAACAAGTTTCTCTTCGAAGTCATTTGATGCTAATTATACACAAAAAGAAATTGTATCTCTTTTGAGAATGAGCCGGTTTAATTGAAGTTCAAAACCCAACTCCTATTGGTTCATTACTGATCAATGAAATTTTTCGATAGATTCACGTGCACCGGTGTTCACTTTTTAATGGTGAAAACCGCAGCTCCATAGCTACTTGTGTTCTCGAGTTATTCGACTCGCAATCACTCGCCTTCTATTTTGAAATGGATAGTAGCTATTGATAAAATAGGAAGTACAATATATTTCTTAGTTGTGTTTGTCTTTTCAAAAACTACATAAATCGTCTGACTTATTGAATAAATTTTTCTCAAAAGAGTTTTGATGTTAAACAATGAATATAAAAATTATAATAATAATTCATATTTAAAAATACAGTCAATATTGCTATTCCAATCAATGCGTTATGAAGAAACTTCAAGGTTTAAAAAAATAATACGATGAATAGAATAAGATGATATGGAAACAGAAAACATATAGGATTTGAAATCATGAAAGATAATATTTGCTTTTGAATTTTTTTCTTTTCTTCTTGATGCTTAGAACTCAGTTTTGTTGTATATGTATGTGTTTTTGAGCGAATTAAAATTAAAGAGGCAAGCATCAAACAACTTGGAATAACATAAGCGAATAATAATTGAAGAAGAGGCCACTGTTTAAAATAAAAGCTTACACAAGACGTTTGAGAAGTACGAAATGAATCGCAGAATTGAAGTTCAACAATTGAACGTATATGTCATAGTAGATATGAGAATTCAATTGAGTTTAGAATGCACGAACTAATTTTAAAAGAATTCTGTTATTAGCAAAAAAAAGATTTTATACTAGGAATAAATTTTCATAAATAATGTAAAATAATTCGTTTGGATAAGAGTTTACAAAACAGATTCATATTAAACACAACAATAAAAAAAATGTTTTCTTTTTGAATTTTTTCTATTAAGTTTTGGTATTATTAGGATATGATAGAAGTACTTGATTTAAAATTATTTATTGCATTATTTTGAAATTATTTACGTATATTAATTTTTGAATTTAAGCAATTCAATGACATTCACTAAATACTAAATTTTTCAATAAGAACTCTTATGCTTCATACACCATCAATTGCATTATTTAGAGAAAAAAGATCACATTTCAATTTTGTTAGTATGTATAATCATTTATTATGCTCTCATATCATATTGATAAGACATACATGTGATATAAGGCATCTTTGCTTTTAAAAATTCATTAATAACTCGAAAAACTTCTATTTATTAATTGTTGAAAATTCACCAATCATTCAATGTCTCCATGTCCTCGTTATCAGAAACTAATCATAACAAAAATTTATACTCAATTACATAAAAGCAAAAAAAAAATACTATAAAAAAACACAATATTTATTTTTCAATCAATTTTAACCAATCATTCAATGTCTCTGTGTCCCAATTATCAGAAACTAATTATAACAAACATTTATACTCAGTTGCATAAATACTGACTGTATAAACAAGGTTTCTATTTTTATACGTTAACGATATTTCTTAATGTTTGTTTCAATCTCTACTCGATTCCAAACTCGTCTGACATATGTATACAAACTATTTTTCATGTACAAATTCGTATTTATTGATATGGTAAAAGTGCATATATTAATCGTTCTATATCAATCAATACAAGAAATCAAGCTGACGTTATCGTTGAAAAATTAAGAATAAATGTATGAAAACAACATAGATAGACATTTTTTGTGATTTTGACTTGCGAAATCTGTGTAATTAAATCATCAATAGACATTCACTCATACAGTCAGAAATATAAAAACCAGTCCAATTGACGTAGTCCGAAGAGTTTTAAATGGAAATGTCACCAGACTACGTATGTATTCAATAAAATTAAGTAGAAAAGTGAATATGTAATCATAAAATCCGATTGTTTGAGCAAGTACATTCAACATTGTGTCTTTCTTTTTAAATTGCCAATTTAATACTTTTTTCTTTAAAAAGAGTTATCAAACTTTGAAGTGATTTAATACTAACTTCAATATTTTTTCAAAAAGTTTCTACGTATATTAGCAAATCATTCTTCGATATCTACAAGAGATAACGGTGCTTTCAAATTGAAAATGAATATTTGTTAAACTGATTTCTTGAGTCTTATTAACTTTTCATATTATTATAACCAAAGAGAAATCAGCCATAAACATTGAGTTTTTTTTTCTTTTCCTACGCATCCAAAAAGTGATGATTCTAACTGAAGTAGAATTTATTAACAAGCTTCAGTTTTGAATATTCGTACAAAAAGAACAAAACACTGTGAACGAGTAATATGTCTTTAAATAAAATAATTCAAAGAGTTTATTGTAGTTGTGAAATAAGTTTACCGAACATCAGTTTCCATTGTGAAAATGTTCGCGTCTTTTATACTTTGATTAGAAACAAAAATGATATATAACATCTTCATCGATTATGTCGATGAATCTATGAAAATAACCTTATGTAAATTGTTTTACTTTAGAAGCTCATTGAATACACAAGCAGATATCACATAAATTTGTTTCATTTGGATAAATGAAATTGAATCTAATGGTTAAATGCTTTTGCTTTTCCACATTGTATTTTATTACTTCAACATTATAGTTTTACGCCTACATGAATATGATTTTGCATTCGAGTTATAGACAGTTTCTGAAGAGAAATTCGAATGTATATCAATGTCATTAGAGTCCTTCAGTGAGAAAACTAAAACGACGATATCTAAATAAAAATAGTATCTGAAATAAAATCTAAACTAAAAACAAAAAAGCTACGAATTAGGTGTGATACTTTATTCTTGACTCTTTTATTTTCTTATAAAAAAAGAACAATAACTATTCATAGATCAATTGCAACTAATGTTATTGTCAAAGTCGGAAGAACAAAATAAAACTCTGTTAAGCAAATATTAGAAAAAAATTTTAACCGGTAAAATTCATTGGAAATTAGTTAAAGAATTCCAATATATAAAATTTTATTAGGAAATTTGAATTGTACATATTTTATATCTGTTAGATATTTGTTTTCATTGTCAATATTAATCACTGATGAAAAAATTTGTTTTTGTTTCGTTATTTTTTCAATATATTTGATACTGGTTGATTACATAAAGATGGTTTTAAATGAGAATAGATTTTGATAGCTTGTTCATAAAATTCAAATGAACGATTAACATCACCTTGAGCATCATAAATTGCACCAAGATTATTTAAACATCGAGCAATTAGTGGATGATTTTGATTTGAAAGTGTCTTTCGATAAATATCCAATGCTTTATAAGTATATTTAAGTGCATAATTGAATTCATTTTTTTGTTTATATTGTTCAGCTAAATGAAGATAATCATTACCTGATTGTTTTTGATAGAGAAGAACATTTTCTTGAATAGTATCAAGTAATTGTTTACGATCAATGAATAGATCAAATATTTTTGAATAATGTTGACAAAGATATTGACATCTTTGTTGTTCTCGTGATGAATTACAATAAATAAAAATAGTATCAATTTGTGTTAATGAATGAATACGAGAAAGAATATCAGTTGCTGATGTACCGTTTAATATGAGAAATATGGGTATAGAAGATTGTTCAATAGCTTGAATACATTGTTGAACATTATTATAATAAATAAAATTATCTTCTTGATTTTTCTCATCATTATTTTTATTATACGAAATAAGAATAGGTGATATTTCTTGTTTTCTATCAATCGATTTAGATTGATCAGCAGAATTTTTCACATTTATTGGTTTCTTTCCATTCATTTTTTAAAATATAAAACAAAGAGTGATAAGACACGGTCTCTATTCGAAATAATCCAAAATCACTTTTATAAGAAAAAACAAATCAAATCACACATAAATTTTGTTTTTTAAAGTTCGATTGTTACCATTTTTGTCCGTCATGTATGTCTAAACATCACTATAACAACTGACTTCGCCTCGTCTTAGGCTAAATGATCAGTGACCTCTTTATTTTAAAATTCTTCTAATGAAGAAAATCTTATTTATATCGAATTGATAAATCAGTCAAACTGAAAATAATTCAAGTCAAAGTAAAACGTATCATTTAATAACTCCATTAAATAAAAAAGTAATTTTCATGTTTGCTTAATATTGAGAAGAGACAAAAGTAATCATGCGTATATTTAGTGTGACGTGTAAGATGTTTTGCCATTCTATTTTGTTTTTGTTATTTGTATCATTTTTAATCAAGAATTGAAGGAAAAATAAAGTCATAGATATACTATTAATCATAAATTCAAATGAAAAACTTCACCTTATTTTTGTGTACTCAGAAAGTGTCTGTGTCATTCTGTCATTACAAAAATTAAAGTATAGGTGTGCTCTTTCTCTTCCGCTTATTTTTTTATTTGTATTTTCTTTTTTTGTGCGTAGCTGGTCGATTCTATAAATTAAAGAGTGTGTCATACATGCAATACTACTTGATCGATCAATAATATTATTACAAGTTTGTATATATCAGAAGAAAAAAAAAAGAATGGTACGCTCAATTCGTAACATCAATTACAAAAATGGTACACACGACAAACGAAATTTATTAGACGTTTATTATTCAAATGAAGATTCACTAAGAGATGTTCTTGTGTTTGTTCATGGTGGTAAATGGAAAAGTGGTCATAAAAATAGATATAAATATCTTGGACGAAATTTTGTTCGTAAAGGTTTAGTTACTGTAATTATTAATTACAGTTTAGCACCTAATGAAATAGAGAGAATGGCTCAAGATTGTACTGCAGCTGTCATATGGGTACGTCAGCATATATCTAATTATGGTGGTGATCTAAATCGAATATTTCTTATGGGTCATTCAAGCGGAGGACATTTAATAGAATTTATTAATTCGAATACTCGATTCTTCAATCAATATAATATTAAAAATCCAATTTATGGTATTATTTTACTCGATGCATTTGGCCTTGACATGTATGAATATTTAGATCAAGCAGCATCGAAAAATAATAAAGATTATGATACATTTATACAAGTATTTTCTAAAGATCGACAAAAATGGAGTGACGCATCACCAATGAAATATTGGAAAAAAATACGAAATCCTCATCTTATTTTAATTGGTCAAAAAACTCATCCATCGATTCAAACTCAAAATAGACATCTGTTTGGGAATTTAACAGTTTCACAAAAGGCGTCGGCAGAATTTTATGAAATTCCTCGTAAACACCATGTCGAAATGATTATTAATATGTTTTTCAGAAGAAGTCAACAGTATGATATTATTTTAAATTTTATGCGCAGAAATTGAAGAGTACATTAATATTAAAAAAAACATTTTGTTCAATATTGTTAGTTTAGTTTTATTAGAATATCTATACTGATAAGGGAAGTACCGAAGTGTTTCGTGGATTAAGAGCTTATATTTTGCCCACAAGTGGGTCTCAACGTCAATAGCCAATGCTTAAAAGGGTGTGGGTACCCATGGACTGTTGAAGCCGACTTATGATCGTTTCATTGGATTTTCGATTTCAGGCAAGGCATTCATGGAAAAATGTTGAAAGGAAAAATGTCGAAAAAATAATATCGACATAAAAAAATGGTCGGTAAATTTTTTAAAACATTGTGAATAGCGAAGGATATATTTTATTATATAAATTAGTGTTAACATTGTAACAAAGACCAAATATAGATAATGAAAAAAACATTGATAATATGTCTTTTTTTTTTTCGTTTACCAACTGTAAATGATAAACCATCTAAGTATTCCATAGCATTTATAATACCGTCATAATATCGTTCGTCAAGATTATCTATACGATGTCGAATAACAATTGTTTTGATTTGCTGTGGTCTTGTGTCTCTAAATCTACACTAAATTAAATACGCATGTGATGAAGATGGTTTTCTTCACCGTGTAGAAATTTGATGAATGACCAAATATTTGAATGATTTACATGTACTCGACGATTAAAACGACTCTGAAATGCTAAATAAAACATACGTGGAATAGGTGTTGTTTCATTTATTGCTCATTGTTTGAGTTTTTCACGGAATTCAAGTTTTTCTTTCTCTGAAAGATGATTATAATCGCCAATCATTTTAATTAATTGACTATATAAATCAGTATGCACTTTAGCTAAATATTCATTAAGCGTCCATATCCAATACTTAGTAGTTGTTGTTTTATTCAATTTGAAAACATATTGATCTGCAATGAGTAAAGGTTTTTCTTTATGTGAATTTATAAATAAAGTAGTTGAAGATGTTGGTTGTGTTACATCGGTTGAAGATGCAACTGCTTCAGCCATGACAGTAGAATTATAGTTATATAATAGTGTTTCGTTCAACTCTTTTAGTTACTTTATATCAAATTTGACTAAGTTAGTGAGCATTTAAAAGAAATATTTTGAGCAGTAAAAAATCATTGTCATTTAGAAAAAAAAAAATGTTAAATTTATCAGATAAAGGTGATAGTATGATGCTCGAGGTTCTATGCATTAAATGTTTGTAGCAAATTGATCATCAGCAATTATACCAAAACTTTTGAGAAAAGGTTATCAATTAACATTGACGTACTAAGACTCGTCACAGTGATCGGATCGAGCAATGTAATAAGTGATCAATCCATCATTAGGCAAGAAAAGAAATCGTTTCAAAAATCATTCTTAATCCACATCAGTTTTGTAATAATCTCGTCATACTTGAAAAACTAGACTATCTTCTATTTCTTTCTTTATAAATCATAAAAATGATGGCACAAAATAACTCTTATCCACAATATAAATTGAGCATGTCACACTAGTAACTGATTTTCTCATTTCGTACAGTTCGACTTCGAATTGGTCATTGACATGAATACTACCATGGTTTCTATACAAACTATCTGTTTTGCATGATCGGGTAGTACATTTGAAGAGACAATTGAATCGAGGCGATCGTGACAGAGAGAAGTATGTCATTGAAAAAATATTGTTCATAATCAAAATGTTCTTCTTGATGAATCAAAAAGAATTTTGACATAATTGTGTATTCAGTTTTTGCCTAACAATAATGGCTTATCGAAACAGATGGTAATTAAAAAGCTTAAAATAAGTCAATTTACGTTAACATTCCAAGTCATATTCATCTTGTTCACCTCAAAAATATGGATTGCTAAACGAAAATTGTTGCCTTTTCCATAGTCTCTTATTGTATCAATTTAATTTTTACTGAAGTTAATAGTGTATTTTATCATTATCAGCTTGTCATCTTCGTATCGAAAATGAAAATATAATTCTAACATTTAATATCTTTACCCAATAAAAGAAAAAAATTTGAATGGAATAGAAAGTTTCTTATAAAACTAATCTAACTTGTTTCTTCCTTATTCAAATTGATGCGATTTACGTAATGTACGAATGGAAATACACAGAGAGGAATAACATCAAATGTGAATAGTAGATTGGAAAAAAAGATTGATAATACGTGATTGATCAAATAAAATTGTTAAAGCATTCTTCTTTTAGCTGAGGATAGGTTGATGTTGAGGCTCCTTTCTTTTTGCACACCTTCACTAATCCTTATACGTCATGAATTCTTTTTGTTCATGTCCTCTACTCAATAAATCTTTTTTATTAATACTATGGATTGTTATAATGATAATTTATTTATTTATTTTTCATTTTAGCATCTATTCTTGCAGGAATATATCTATTAAATCTCAATTATATACATTTGGCTTTATAAAAGGTTTTTTTTATTCGAGCTCCTTTTTAATATGAGGTTTTTGTCTTTTAACATTTTTCATTTCTATTTTTCTATGAAACCCATGGAATGAATATCACAGTGTCTGAAAAAAATTATTTTTTGAAGACAACTTTAGTAAATAGTATAACGTAATTGGTTGAATTATTCTGAATAAATCGAGGTTGATATATTATTTCGTAATTATATGATATTAAATCTTTTCTAATACTTTAAAAAAAAACAAACTCAAAGCGTACTTTACTTTTTTTCGGTAAGACTTATTAATTATTTTTTATATGATGGTCACAAAAGTTTCCATTTTTGTTTTGATTAAGTTGAAATGAGAAGCTAAAATCAATAGATAACTACATAGTAAAGATACTTATGGACTATATAAACTTTTGCTGTTATTTTAAATGAAATGCCTTATTGTTCCTGTTAAATAAAGTTTATAAGTTTTATAATTCTTCTTTTTTCTCGATCATTGATCATCATATAATATCGATATATGAATTCTATTATTCAATGAAATGTATCATACAATAAAATGTTCTAGAAACTATGAATTATTATTGTATCAATCAACTCGATTATGATTGTTTAATATATCCTTGATAATCTCGTTTACTGCATAACTCTATCATTTTTGAAGTCATAGTTTTTTTTTTAAATATTTACAATGAAACCTATAAGGTCCAATTTTTAACTGTCCTAATACATTAGAAGAAGTGCAGAAATTAGGTTTCCTCTATAATATATGAATAAATATTGAAGAAGTTGTATATATAAGAAATTTTTTTCAGTTTGACAACATCCAATATTTTCATTAGCAGATATCATACAGTAAAAATATTTTATTAAAAAGAAAATGTTCACAATTTAAATACAAATTATTTTGTTGATGTTTGTAATAATGGTACATCATGTTCCTCAATAGCTATTAATGTTTCAATAGTATTATTATCAGCGTGAAGTATGGCAACATATAGTTGACCTGGTTGTGGTGCTTTTCTATTGTGTGTTATATCTAATGTATCGCTAATATTTAATATTTGTTCCTCGCT